AACTACGGTTAATGATAGAAATTGAAGATTATGAGACAAATTGGACCGCGTCGGTCTATAATTTGTTTTCGATTTAGTAATTTGGGCGTATGTCTAAGACCACGTCTGATCAGCCGCGGGGTGTCCTAACACGTTTCCAAAATTGTGGTAATGCTTTGTAAAGCTTTCCATTATTCGCTACAGTACAATCAGTAAAGAATTCCGAGAATATTGTAGTAACTATATAATTTCATGCGACAAGAAACTAGTATGTGATATGTGATATTATTTATTTATTTTTTTTTTTTTTCATTGGTGTCTTCGGCTTTGACAACTCATGCCATGGGCTTCGTGGTCTATGTAGGTTTTTTTTTTGAAAAACACTCCATAAGGGCGTTTATTTATATTACAATGTAATCAAAAGTTTATCAATGATTTAAATACTAAAATTCTACTGGCTAATATACCTTAGGGTCTGATACCTTAATTACACTAAACTAAAAGGTTTCGTTGTCTTGAGTCTTCGTGACAGGTTCGTGTTGTCAAGAAGCTGGATCGTCTGAACGTTCACATGTTGGTGGACCCACTGTTCGTGACTCCTAGCGAATCTGGTGGATAGTCTGGTCAACAGTGTCCATCTGAAGGTCTCGAGGAAGGTCGCTGTTTCTAATATACCAAGGAGCATCGACAATGTTCCTCAACACTTTGTTCTGGAATCTCTGGATTATTAGAATATTACTGTTGCTAACACAACCCCAGAGCTGAATGTCATAGGTACAAATTGGTTTGAGGACTTGTTTATGTAAAAGAATTTTGTTATGTGTAGATAGGCTGGAATGCCTACCAAATAACCCAATACATTTTCTTGAAATTTATATCTAACTCTTGTCTTTTCTTTTTAACATAGATCTGCCAGCGAAATCTAGCATATAATGTAATATCTAGATATTTTGCTGAGTTGCATAATGGATCTGGGCATTATTTATGTTAATTGGTATTCGTTGACCATTTTTGTTAGTAAAATTAATATTAACAGATATGGTTTCGTCTAGTTTAATACGCCATCTTTTGCTCCAGTTATTTATTTGATTAACTGATGTTTTTAGTTTATATGCAGCCTCTTCATAATCTTTGCCTATCGCTAGGATGGCAGTACTATCTGTAAATGTAGCTATTGTGTCTTGTTCTAGTTGGGAGTATGTCATAAGTGTATAACAGATACAAAATGGGTTCTAGGACGCTTCCTGCTTTAATTTCTTTCAATTTAGAGTATGCTTCATCTTGTTTTATTCTAAAAAATCTATCTGAAATGTACGAATCGAGAAGCTCTGAGTATGGCTGTGGAAGTAGCACATTCAGTTTATATTTTAAGCCATCATGCCATATACTTTATCAAAAACCTGCGCAACATCGGAAAAACAGCTGAACAGACTTATTTGTTTTCTAATGCTTTTTCAATCGTATTTGAGATTCTGTGAACCTGATCTATAGTTAAATGGTTTTCTCTAAAGCCGAACTGATAATCTGGAATTAGTTTCCTTTCTTCAATGATGGGTTTCAGTCTTTTCATTAGTATTTTTCTTAGATAAAAGAGGTATTTTTTCAGATAGTTTTAGAATATTGGCCTATATGAATGTAGGTTAGGAAGTAACAATAATAACGTTATTTAACAAATTCCTGAAAGGCGAAGATTAGCTAGGTTGCTCTTATCCTTTTCAGTTTACAGAGAATTAGAGAAATAATACAAAATACAAAACATAAGTTTTAAAATTGTCGAACTAATAATACGTTTTTTATTCTTTTGAGGAAGGTGTGAGTTGATAATAATTTGGTTTAAATAATTTAAAAGAATTATATGTAAAATTGCGTTCCAAATGAGCTGAAAAGTGATTGTGGCATGTTGAGAGTGTATATGTGTCTGATGTTATGATTATGAATACCATTTCTGAACATTAATTTTTCAAGTAAATAAGTTGAACATTGATCTTTAATTGTCGATGTATAAACTAGAAGATTTTGTTGAAATAGGTAAAGTTCTTTTAGTTGCCTAATATGTTGAGAGACATGATCGTATTTTCTTGAATTAAAGATAGATCCTCAACAATTATTTTAAATACATTGTATCTGGTTCTGGAGTAACTCTATCCAGACAAGGATAATATCGTGGGCTTACTGCGAAAAGTGACCAAGTCAAATGTTATGTGATTTGAGTTAATATGACCAAGTCACTTGTTACAGTCAGATCTACCAAAATAAAAATTACCAGGTCATATTTATACTACCTGAAAGTACTAAATAAACTCCATCAATATGACTTGATCTTTTTTTTAGTAGATCTGACTTTAATAACTGATTTGATCATATTTACTCAAATCTCACAAAATTTGACTTGGTCACTTTTTGCAGTAAGCTAACGATATATATTACAATAATAATTCAACAAAGATAACACAAAGGATTCAGAAAGAAAAAGCTAGTATATGTTTATTTCCCTTCAGCATACTCATACGTAGGTGTAATATTTTTATAGTAGACATGTTTCTTAAACCTTAGATCGGAATCAATTAGTCCTAGATTTATAACATTATCAGAAAGTTAATATACTGTTATGTGAGCTATTTTATTATTCAGTCATGCTCTAATCCTCCAAGTCTCTCACTGTCTTATTTGGCCTTTGAGGCTCAACTTGTCCGATTATTATAATTAAACCCCTTAAGACCAAACATATGTGACGACTATGGCGGAGGTTCTTTCGATGATGTTCGAGAAAGAACGGGATAATGTTTCTAGTGTATTGGAGAGAATAAGTGAACTTTCTAGCTCATTCGCCAATTTTTTAAATTTGTATATAAATATTGGTGGAGGACCAAGCGTTAGTCAGTTATTATATGGACAGTGAAGATAAATAGTAATTAGTAGATAGACAGTGGTGAACATAAATAGTGAACGATTCAAAGACATTCGAAATATATATAAATTAAAATAGTAGTGTTATAAAATAAATAGGTGTTTAAATAAATTATTAATAAATAAACTGTTGTTTAAAATAAATAAACGTCACAATACTATTTGTGACTCTTGGAAAATTCAAAATTTTTATCTAAATCATTATTAATTGAAACAGTAGCTTCGTGGTATTTATTTGGTTTAAAATAATGTATGCCTTGAATGTCGTCCGCATATAGCCGCATTTTACTATCACTTACTACTTTAGTCAAATTTAACGTGTACAGTAGAAATAATAAAGGGCATAAGGGATCCTTGTGAGACACCACAGGCAGCGAGCCTAGATTCAATAGTTATGCGTTGAGGGCGTTTCCAAAGATAATATGTTTTTTTAAATGAAAGAGCAATGTTGTCAAATCCATATTTTTATTAGATTTAAGTAAATCATGCCCTATCTGAAAAAAAGCTTTGGAGTAATCCAAGGCAATTAAGTTTTCGATCAAGAACAAGAGCACTTATTGTATTATTAGTGAGTTTCAGATAGCAGCGCTCTAGTAGTGCTGTGTGCTTTCCTGAAAGCAGATTGTTGTGTAGGAAATATTCTGTTGCTAATTATTCATAAACTTGGATATAAACTATTCTTTCTAGATTTTTAGTTTGGTAGATTTCTGCTTTTTTGGTAGATTTTTAGCTATTTTGGCTAGTTCAAATAGACAATTTTCTTTTGGTAGATTTCTATAAGTTAATAAAAAAAAATAGTTGATTTACTTAAAAGTCCTTAATAGTTTTTTCTAGTTCGTTTTTTGATTTTGTTTTTGCGTTTTTTTTTTCGTTTTTTTTTTTCGTTTTTTGTTTCGTTTTTTTTTTTTTTTGTTTTTATTTTTAATTTGTTCTTAGTTATTTTTTTAGTTTTTAATTTTTGTACATATATTTTAATTCATTTCGTCAGAGCTTTGGCTATAAATAATTTTGTATATATCGAGATTCTTGAATTCAAAATGTAACTTTGTCTGTAACAGTTATCTTGTCACTTACTTATTTCGAATAATTTAATATATAAAATTAAATATCCTTTTGGGATTTGACTTGAATTAAGGACGATATTGTCACACAGTCCATTTTTTGCCAAACCATCTACAATTTCTATATTTTTAATTTCACTGTTTTCTAGACTATTTAGAGCAGCGATTCTCAAACTTTTTTGGCGATGGAATTCTATTGAAACGCGGAATATTTGACGGAGCCTTAAAACAATAAAAATAGATTTTTTTAACTTGGAATATTTAGATGGGTTTTATTTTACTCTGCAACCTTATAGTACCTTTAGTATTTTTTTATTATAACTAGTATTTTTGCGGAGCACACTTTGAGAACCGCTGATTTAGAGCAATAATTTCATAGATAATATAAATTATTTTAGTGTTAATTATATCTTTTAATTTTTTATACATATTTTGTAAGCCTATTTAACTGATATAAGGTCTGCTGTATAAATAGTTATTATATCGGGTAGTCACTTTTTTTTAATTTTAATATCTTTTTGTCGATAATATTTGGCGTAGGCAGCTTTTCCGTATTTTTTGAACCATCTGCGTATAATTTTTGGTGAGTTGTAATTATTTTTCTAACATTTAATCAGGCAAGACGAGCCAACACGGAGATTGAAGAGATAATTAGAAGACATGTGTATTTTAAATTTTAAAATAATTGTTATAAGTATAATACGAATTAAAATGTATACATACAGTTCTACCCAGATCAAACCCTTGGTCATGCTTTACTTTTATCGGAGTAAATAGTAAATGGCGCTCCCATATCAAGGAAAAGAAACGATGCAGTATCAATATTGCCAGTCACAGGTCGAGTTACCGGTTGGTAGCATACGTCGATACCACATTATTTCCTCATGTATATTCTAACGTCATTTACTATTTATTGCAACACAAGCAAAGCAGGACCGAAGGTTGATCTTGCCATCACTGTGTATATATTAACATTTTAACCGGTTTTCATGTTATTATAAGTCAGGTAAAACTAGACATATTTCGAAAATGAATTGTATTTTTATTTTTCAGTAAAGTTCCAGCATTTCTGAACGTCGTTGATATCGCTGGTTTGGTGAAAGGAGCTTCAGAAGGTCAAGGATTGGGCAATGCTTTTCTTTCTCACATCAGTGCTTGTGACGCCATATTTCATCTGTGTAGTAAGTATTTTTTTATTATTTTCCCACCTTATTATTTTCTTTATAATATTTTTATTTCCACAATGGATAATAATTATAATATCCATAAAAATTGATTATTTTCGTTTACAGGAGCATTTGAAGATGACGATGTTACACATGTAGAAGGAGAGGTAAATCCTGTTCGAGATTTGGACATCATTGGTGAAGAACTTCGGCTAAAAGATGAGGAAACGCTGCTGAAAAATTTGGACAAACTAGAAAAGTCAGTCGGCAGAGGTCTCGACAAAAAAGTGAAACCAGAATTAGTAAGTACATTTTTATTGTTATATATGACCAAAATTAGTGTGACACAAAAACAATTAAGTTTTACTAAAATATATTTTTAAAACTTTATTTTTACTACTCAATTCATGGTGCAATCTATTTTTATTGTTATGTATATGTCTATAAGGCTGTGGAGCTGAGTTTATTCTTATATCCTATAAAAGTTTCTCTCAAACCAAAGTATACAACCACCAGGGGCGTGCGGTCCATGGAATCGGGGGAAGCGCCGCTTCCCTACACTTTGAAATTTAAAAATAAATATTTTTAAGTTTACAATGCATAGAAATTAATATTAAATTAGGCACTATATTTTCTCTGAAACATTACGTAAACTTCGTAAATATACTAGCAATTCATTGGTGTGTAAGCGCACGCACCACCTATGAGAAAATTAATTGTGTAAACGAACAAACGGTCTGTCAGCGGAAGCGCTTCTTGAAATAACCTGTTCATCTTGCAAGTGATTTCGCTTAGTGTTAAATGACCCTGCTTTGCAGCGACAGTTTCAGTCTGTTTGCACACGTGAAATACGGTCGAGAGGCAACGATTATTACGTCGCCTTACGCTTATTGCAATTCGCACCGCGAATCGACGTGTGAGGAAAATCTTATATTTTAGGTAGATTTCGGTTTGTTTTTCGTAGTTGTTTTTCTTTTTGTGCCTGTGAATAATAAGAATGTGGTATTGTGTGCTCTTTATTGGAAAAAGGATTTTCAAGTCGAAATTTTGAAGAGAAAACTGACATAATTAATTCTAGTAGACTAAAGGATCCTATCAATTTAGAGACGAAAGTAGAAAAATCAGCAAAGAAATTTACCAGGCATTTTCACGTAGGGTTTTATGAAAAGTATGAATGGTTAACCGGCTGCAAAACTTTGAAGAAATTGTTTTGCTGGCCTTGCCCACTTTTTAATATAGTCGAAAAAACACATTGGAACTCAGTCGGTATTACAGACTTGAATAATTTTCACAAAAATGTAAAACGACATGTAAATAGCAAATCTCATATAAGTGCTACAATTAAAGAAAAAACATTCGGGACCTATCGCATTGAACATAGTTTGGACAATCATTTAAAAATAAGCAACAAAATTCACAAGGAAAGGGTAAAAAAAATAGGGACGTCTTACAACGATTAATAGTTGTAACTTGTTTCCTGGGAGAGCATGAACTAAGTTTTAGGGGTCACAATGAAGCAAGTGGATCCGCCAATCGAGGAAATTACATGGACCGTCTAAGTTTTTTAGCAAAATACGATAATACCCTAAAAAATCATTTTATTGATTCCACGACTTTCCGAGGTACCTCAAACAGAATCCAAAATGATTTAATTAATGGCACTGCCGACGTTATGGTGGATCACATTAAAAGTGAAATTAAAAAGGCACCTTTCGTATCAATTGCGCTTGATGAAACCACAGATGTAGCAAACTTAAGTCAATTATCCATTGTTGTGCGATATGTATTGGATGGCATTCCTTAAGAGCGATTCTTAGGATTTTTGGACGTCACTAGCGAACGAACTGCAGATGCATTGTTTAAAATTGTTTGTGACATTATTTCAAGTTTATAATGTGGTTCTAACCTTGTTGCCCAGAGCTACGATGGTGCTGCCGTAATGCCTGGCCATTTAGGAGGCCTTCAAACTAAAGTGAAAGAAAAGTTTAAACATGCAATTTTCGTTCACTGTATAGCACATAGACTTAATTTCGTTTTATCGCGAAGCATGGATAATATTAAAGATTGTAAAGTTTTCTTTTCGACGCTTAGTGGTTTGGCTTCCTTCTTTTCAAAGTCATCGAAAAGAACAAGCGCTTTGGACGTTCACGTTCAAAGAAGGTTTCCAAAAGTTGCTCCGACCCGATGGAACTACAATGGACGTTTAGTGCAAACAGTGTTTCAATACCGTGATTCTTTGATAAACTTTTTTCAAGACGTTTGGGATAATAAAGAAACATGGGATGCTGAAACTTTTACTGCTGCTAAAGGTTATTTGCACTGGCTCAAACAAAACTTTGATTTCAATTTTTTGCTTAACATTTTTGCAGAGATTTTCCCTTTTACTGACATTTTATTTGACATTTTACAGACAAAGTCAATTGACATTGGCTTTTGCATTAAACAAATTGATGATTTTAAAAATAAAATTAATAAAAAACGAGATCAGTTTGAACACTTTTGGAATAAGACTCAAAACATTGGCTTAGAACCTGAAAGAAAGAGAATTAGAATTGATAATGTCGGCGACAGAGAGACCTCCTATCGTCGATTATACGCCGAAATTTTTGATAATATTCTACAACAAATGCACTCTCGATTTCAAAACTTTAACGAATTAAAATTTGTTGAATTGTGAAATTTTAATATTAATAACTACGATTTATCAAAATTTCCATCGGAAGCTTTTAATTCACTAAATTTTTTTCGATATCCCAGTTAAGTGTTGTTTATGAAACAACTGAAATTAGTGATAAAAAGACGCCAATTAAATTTTCTTATAACAACTGGTTTAAATAAGTCTCTTTGTGAAGTCGTCAAATTGTGTGAATTATTACTAACCATCCAAGCCACAAGTGCGTCAGTTGAGCGAAGTTTTTCAGCTTTAAAGCGCATTAAAAGTGTTATATGAAATTCAACAAGTGAAGACAGACTCTCTAATTTAGCCCTAATATCCATTGAAAAACAGCTTGTTAAACAATTATCAGAAAATCCAAAATTTTACGACGATGTTATAGACAAATTTGCAGTCATTGAGGATAGGCGAATAGATCTTAAGTATAAATAAATGTCAACTATGCGAAAAATGCTGGAGAAAATAAAAAAAAACTTCAGTTAAATGTTTTTTTTTATGTTTAAATAAACCAAGGAAGCTTTTCAATGGTAAGTTTTTTTATAGCTTCTAGTACTAAACTAGGTAATAAAGTAATGGTAACACTTCAAAAATCTCAATCTCGAATATCCTTAGTACTGAGGAAAAAAGCAAGATTTTGACAAAATGGTGAATGCGCCGCGAAAAATTTTCGTCTGCGGCGCTGTGCTTACTGGCCTGCTGTATTTTTATACAATCGCTTCCCCTTTCAAAAATGTCACCGCACGCCACTGCCAACCACTATTCTGTATTTTTGTATAATCAATTTGAACCCAATTAAAACTAGATGGTTTCATCATCTCTCAATTTTTTTGCAACTGCAGCTAAAAAAAATTGTATTCTTATATAGGACAAATAAATAAATTTCCCTTTTATAAAGTTATAAAGCTCAAATTAGGCAAAATCTTGAATACTGTTTGCCCATTTGGAAACACTTAGCGTTCATGATGCCATTAGAAATAGAATAACGACAAAAATTTGACCCAAAAATATTCTCCCCAAAAGCAAACAACATAATTTTTCTATTTAATTTTACATGAAAATAGATTTTCGATTCCAAAAACAAATGTATACTAATTCCAAATTATAATATACCTACGAAGTTGTAAATTGAAAAATAATGCCGGGAGATAACAACCAACACACGAAACCATGCTCAATACACGATACATTCATTCTAGAATTTAATTGATAATATTTTTCTGAAGGGCATAATCCATCAATCAAATTGTAAATATCAATGACACGACACAAACGTTTTACCTGTTTTGCATTCAACAGCATTCGACCGCAAGATGACACTGCAACTTTTAATGTACAAGAAAGGTAAAAAAAAAGACATGAAATGAAACTCCATACAACATTATGTAAATGAATAACGCATGCGTCGTGTGTGGTCAGTTTTTAATTAGATTTATTGTCTAATGCTATGTCGAATATTTATCTTGGCAAAAGATCGATTTCTATTAGATTCATGAATGAATAAAAACGTACTCTTGACGTTTGTAGATAGATAGATGTACCTATGTTTCCATTAACTCTATAAAACGTTATCATTGTATATTCAAGCTGTAACAAATAACACACTAGATCTTATCCAATTAATAATTACTACGAAGCTATGGGATGGGAAATATTTGTAAATCGGTGTAGTGCCCGTTACCATTACTAATGGGACAACACCTGCCTGGCGCCCCCTGATGCGTGGGGACCCGCCCAATCCCGCCCATATTACGACCCGTGCCCGGCATGACCTTACATTGTTCCGACCTGTCATACAATAATCAGAATCAAATTAAATGATTCTTAGTTTTTCATGAATTAATTTCTGTCTAGTAATCTATAGTTCAAGCAGTGATACAAGTCAAAATAGGTGGAAAGATAATTTCCATATAGATAAATATGAGTTTTTTTGAAAATGTTAAGGATGCTACTTTTTGTAAAATCAGTCCAAGAATTTGGATTTGTCGTGATAAGTGAAGAAAATGTGATTGCACCTCTCAATAGCTAAAAATATAGAATTCTGTTAAAATTACCTTTCTTTCGGAAAGTGTCTTATAAAAGCCTAAATTTAATGAAAATGTGGAGTAAATTCTGCTAAAACAGAAAGTAGAGGGAACTATTGTAGGAGACATATATGTTCAGCATTGAACCGAAAATGGCTGCGAAAGTAATAATAATAAATCGTCTTTTTTCATAAAGTTACACTATAAATGTAAAAATATAAATGAACAATGATATATAAATAACCTAAAAAATATAAGAAAAAATATTTAAAAAAATAAAAATATATAAAGAAACGGATTTTCAAAACCAAGCCTTCTAAACATATATTTTTTTATGACCGTAGTAGATGAATTAAAATGTGTTTGTTAATTTTAGTAGCATTTCTTAAATTAGGTTAGGGTTGGCTTTTTCTAAGAATTTATAAGAATATTAGAGTGTTCCAGGTGATCTTGATTTTTTATTTTCTCTAAGAACAAAGTCTAAATATATTTAGGTTTCGGTTGAATAACAACACTCATTCGTATGTTACTATTTTATTCGAACAGGAAACGTACATTTTAAATCCCGGGTACAAGTGGTACAACGGCAGGGGGTCGATTCTCGACTTTTATTCCCATGGGAAAATAAAATTTTCCCATGGGAATTCAGTTTTCGTATTCTCGGCATAAGCGGTGGAATATTTTCCAATGAGAAGTATGGGAAAATATTCCCCTGCTTGCGAGCATTGGAAATTGTGTTTTCCAATGGGAATTGTACTAGAGTTTGCGCATTAAAGTCGAAAATTTGACGAAAGACCACGCGAAAGACTAAGACATAACCAAAGATTATTGGATATCTTGGATTTTTGGTGAAATTGTAGTTAAAACATGTTTTTTGTGTATTTATAAATTGATATTATTTTATTTATGTGGGTATATTATTTTTACCTCTCTTTCACTAAGAAACTGATTTTCTTAAATTAGTTAGAAATTGTGGGAGCTGCTAAGGGACTGGCAAATAGGTAACACAAATTGAGAAATTTGTAGTAAATTTAATAAGACCTTTTCGAAAATTTTATTATTTCCGTTAACGAAAGAATTTCTTATATATATAGTTTCTCGAAACTTTCGTTGCTCTTCTATACAAAAGCTACTTTTTCTTTTTTCAATATGTGAAAAGAAAAACTAAAAATAACTCGATAAGTTTTAATTATACATAATCGAATATTTTCACTTGTCCTCGGTCAAGCTAGCGATTGCTCGGCACGGCATCTGCTCCAGCGCAGAGGCTCGGCAGGTAATCGGTTACCCAAAAACCACAACAAATACAAATAATACCAACAGTAAATTTTAAAATATCTTTAATGTTATTGGTTATTTCGAAATATTCGTGAACTTAATATCAGACATACGTGAAACTATTATTTCCATGGGAATGTCTATTCCGACAAGTTCGAGAATTGCATAACCTATTACCATGGGAATATAAGTAGTGGAATCTTTTCTCATGGGAAAACTTTCCAATGAACTCGAGAATCGAGCCCCAGGACGAAACCGTTACCATACGAAATGTATAAGATGGACTGCGCGCGCCACCACTTGGTGTCGCCGGTTTGGAACTGTGACGTATACCCAGTGATACCAACTTTGTTGGATTGTAAAGCCCTGGTTATACTACAAAATAGCATTTTCTCGTCGAATTACTCCGGTAGTAAAATTCCTTAGTGTGTGAAATTGATTTTAACTGAGAAACAGATAATGATGATAAACGTTCTTTAATACCGTATACTGAATTTTGTTTCTTATACTTATTGAAATCCTAAGAAATTCTTAGGTACAAAGCCAATAAAAATAATTATGAAATTTAATATTCCTAAAATGATGGCAGACAAATCATATATATTTTGTTAATAATTCCTAATTTTTCCAAAATCTTTTAAAGATATGGAAATATTAATTGACGATGAAATTAAGGATTTGTACAAATCGATGCCCATTCCAATATCTGGATCTTCCTGTCATAGTTTTTTTACTGAATACATTGATGTGATTCAGAATAACACTCCAAAAAACAGTCATAATAGCTTTAAAATCTGGTAATTCCCTTAATTAATTCTGCTGCCTCTGCTTTTATAATCACCTTTTCTGAACTGTCATTTGAGATTGATTTTAGAGTATTGTAATTATCTTTCAAAGACTTCAATAAACCCAGTTATTTTAGTTTATTCCAAAACATTGTGGATGCCGTGAAGACGTAGATGTCTTGCAAAAATGTAAAATAATTTTTTTGGGAAAAAAATCGTTCTACAAAAATTTGCCACCGTAGGCTATAGCCTCTAGCTAGTATTTAGAAATCTGCCACTCTGACAGGTCTCTAGACAAGAAGCGAGTGACTACATTTTTATCCTTATTTGAAATCTTCCTTGCTCTTCACCCTAATTTTAAGAGGTATAATATTATTCCGTTTTATATAACACCATATTGTACATAGGTACATGTAAACTTAACATAAAAAAAGCGAACACCAAAAAAATCGTATTGAAAGTGTTTACTTAGCATACACAAAATTAACAAAATTTAACAAATGAAAAAAAAAATGTTTTCAAAATAATTTTATTCGAAATGTAATTGAACCGGTACGAATCCAATTCATGACCATCATTTGAACGTTATATTTGCTATAGTTGGAAATATATCTTTATTGTTTATGACAAAAAACGAAAATAAAATGCCCAAAAGTTTCTGCCTTTTGGGAAGCTTCAATTTGTCATTTTACTATTAATAATCCCACACCAAGTTAAGTTTTATGTATAAACTATCAACTTTATCAACTATTAAACTAAGTTCATTATTGTTAGTGCATCTACGAATGCCATAAAATTGTTATACGTGTAATTTGTTCCTAAAATACCATCAAAATCATAGGCTTGAAAATGGCTGTATAGCCGAAACCAGTCGCCTTGAATAATAAATTTTATATGTGGGATAGATTTACAGTTTTATTTTCTCATTGAAGATGGCCACATTTCAGAGGTTGGATACTATTCTTGTCTCGCTTATGTTAGCATATTGGCAGCTTCTTGATTCATCCCACTTTTCCCTGAATTTCACAATGGAATGCTCTTTAATTGGTTAGTCACGACCAATGTTGTTAGTTAAATCTAAGGGTTAGGTCCAAAAAGTATTTGGTTAGCTGCCTTCTTGGCTAGCGAATCGGCAAAATGGTTATCTTTCGATGTGATGTGGCCTTTGATCCATCTTAAGGTGAGTACATTGTTGAGGTTACTTCGACCAAAACTTGTAGTACTAACCCTGAGTAAATTAGTGGTCTGTACAGGATGAGTTGATATCCACATAGATAAGCATGTTTCTTCCTGTGATATTGTTTCTGGTAATTCTTTTGCTGCTATGAGAATCCCCCTTGAGCTCAGTTTGGTCTACACTAGCACTATTGCTCACATACCATTTTATGTTTAGATTTAAGGATGTGAAGAACATTCCTCATCGTGAGTTTTAGAACCGTCGCGGTGTAGACATGATTAAATAGTCGTTTTCTTTTTACCACTAGTCTGAGCTAACTTACATCGACTAAGCTTAGTTGTACGTTCTTTTTGTGATTGTAAGTCAGAATATTTCTTCCCCCCTTACCGATGCTAAGGTAAACGATTCTTGACGTCAGCCATAAACCATAACAGAAAGTGAGTGTTCTGTGCATCATACGAACAAACATATCCTATGAATTCATTATTTTAGAGAGATTAAAAGATTATGATAACAGGGGGTAAGATCGTAGTGTTGAATGTTGAAGAAATTATAAAATTTGATAAAAATGTCGATTGTTTTTAAACAGATGACATGGGACACGTCACGTGTCAACCAAAATTCGCGTTCTTTTTACACCTTAGCTTAGATCAGAATCTAACTTTTAGTTAGTCAAGTATGCCTGTAAAAAGAAAACGACTAATAATTAACCCTGCCACTTACGACTCTTCTATAATATTATTCTAAATAAACGATGTGTATGCTTTTGTTTCAGGACTCGATGATGAAGATTAAGCAAGTTTTGATGGAGGAGAAGAAACATATTCGATTTGCTGATTGGGATGCGAAAGATGTAAGTAAAATTATTATTTATTTCAGGATAAATCTGTGGTCGGCGATTAAAAAGTAATAAGTCGATATTACACATTTTTGGAGAATGGCGCTGGAAAATTTTGGGACACACAAATAAGGATTTTTAGAATCCAAATCGACGATCTTTTTGGGAGATTTGGTCCTGTAAAAATTAAAAAATATTTAGAAATATTTTGTTTTAACTGTTTTATGTTACAAAATTTGACTGTTTATGTTTAATTATGACGTTTTGTCTTTCGCGGTTACCCTTGTATTATTATATATATTATTGTGTACCTTATTTTTATTACTTTACAACGTATATAGACTTAGATCCTTTTAACTGCCTAAAATATACACACTTCTAAACGTATCTTTACTAAAAACTCCATTTACGTAAAAACGATTTATGACCTTTTAAGCGCCGGTCACAGAAATGTGAAAAATAGCATCTGTGGGTGGGTCACTTGAACCCCTCTTTCTTTAAGATTTTTTGTTTTATATCATCGATTTAAGGGTTTATGCTTTATAATAGTCATTATCCAAGTGTTTACATTTTTGTTTTTCAAATACATGAGTTATAAGGATTTATAAATAAATGTTTATTGAGCAACTACAAATACATTAGTCTCCCAATAGGAATGAATTCGACTATGCCATTTTTCAATTCATTCTTAAAAAAATCATGATTCCTATACTTTCCTTATATTTTTACACAGTTCCGAATTTAACAACAAAGGTGCTAAGTAACTAAAACAACCCTCAAATTTTGAAGTTCTATGCATTGTGGTTGTAAAGCTGGTGACTCTTAAATTTATATTGTGTGCAGTTGATCTAAGTAAGATGTAAAAATATGGCACAATTTTAGACGTTGAAATTTTATACAAAAAAAAAATTAAATACAAATATTTTACCATATCCTAAACTTTATATATTTATTTAACCTGCAAATGTATGGAGTATAGAGAATATTCCAAGTAAATCTTCCGAAGTTTCTTTTTTATTGTGGTATATAATACCCTATCTCGTATCAAGTAACCAGCTTGCAAGTTCTGATTATTTATTTAAAGACTGCTTTAGGCTACACAATTTCTTGTACAATTTAAAGTGTGTAGTATAATACAGTAAATTGTTTGAAAAATTAGATTTTTTTTAAACAATGATACTACACAATTACAATTACGAATTTTTACTTAATTTAAAATACAGCGTTATATCGTCGCTTAACCTCCACTTCCGATTTTTATTCGAGGTTGTATGCCCGGTCGCCTTAAGACACAAAACAACTACTTCCAAAGCTACATGCTCCATCGGGAATTTAATGATTATAATGCATGTTCGCTCTGTCGATACAACAAATCCTTTGATTTGACATTTGAGGATTTAACATTTAGTCTAAGAGCCCGCGACGGCCAGGCCTTAGTTAAATAATAAAATCTGAAAGTTTCTCTGTGTATGTCCACTATACAGGTAAGAATGATCCCAGGCTATGAAACTTGGCTCGCGCTGGCTTTGGCAGGAAACAGGTAGTAAAGTTGTGTAAAATTGTGTCTCAAATTTAGTATAGTATAAAGCTTAGTTTTCATATATTTTTTAGTGATAATCTGAGAAATCGCCTCGTTCACAGCCAGACACTTAGTACAGTTGCAACCCCCTGCCAGATACCCTTAAAGTAGGTTTAATTTTAATTATACTTAAGTTATAGTATAAAAGCTGAATTTCATATATATTATTTGGAGAACTATAAAATGATGTTTTCTCAGTAGCCAGGCAGTTTCGATAGTTCCCCTATATTGCCAGACACATTAAGGTGATCATCACCCCCTTATAATTTTCGGACAATGATATCTCAAAAAGTAATTTTTTTAAAAAATTCAAATTTTGGCAAAATATATGAGGCAATAATATTTAGAACATGCATATATTTTAAAGTTTTAATTCCTTCCAGTTTCTGAGGAAAAAAATCAAAGAGCTTTAAAGTTTGAAATATAATAAAAATAAATACGTTTCTCAACAGCACTATTCTTAATATAATCCCAAAATTTGAGCTCTTAATGTCTTGTTAGTGGCACAAGCGCCTCGTTAAGTGCTGCCTTCTGCTGTAATGCGACTGTAACTATCGTATCGTACAGTCTCAGTCATCATTCGTGTCCTGAAATGATTTACAACCGTTTTCACTTAACGAGGCGTTTTAGCCACTAATTTTGGAGAATTTTAAAAAATAATTAACAAGACATTAAGAGCTTAAATTTATGGATTATATTAAAAATAGTGCTGTTGAGAAACGTATTTATTTTTATTATGATATTTCAAACTTTAAAGCTCTTTGATTTTTTCCTCAGAAACTGGATAACAAGTAATATAAAAATGGAACAAGGAAGTTATTAATAAAATGTGAGCTTTTAAAAGTTTATTTATTCGGAACAAAAATACAAAGTTCGTGCACATAGGCCTAGGTACTTTTATATTACAATTATACCATACAAATCCGGCATTATTAGTCTGGGGTCGTTTAATCAACCCCATAAAAACTGCTGTTGCATCACTTCATACTACATTTCCTTAGTTTATAATGTTTATGTAGCATAAATTATGTTTATAATACTATACATAAACATACGTCTTAAAAATAAGAAAGTATCTATATCTACTTGCTTCTTACTGTAATTATTTTGGGTTTAACAATTTCACTACTTCACTAATGCTCTTTCCACGGCACAGCGCTTTCGTCAAATGCATTCAAATTCACACAAATGAGATGGATGCGAGTCTGAGTTTTAGTGACCCGTTCGAAAAGGAAATTTCTTGTTTTTATACCACGTGCATATCGTAAACACGTATTTAAAAGTAATTGTAATTAGAAAATGTAATAATATAAATAATATAATTACAAAGTACAATTCCTCCACAAATTTTGCTGCAATTACAATTCCAAATTACTTTTGGAAAAAGTACTTAAATACAATTACAAATTACATGAAAAAATAATTGTAATTATTAATTACTTTTTAACTAGAAATTACTCAACTACGAGGCCTTACGCATTTTGCAAGGAAAACCGTAGACTTCAGATAGATTTCGGTTTGTTTTTCGTAGTTGTTTTTCTTTTTGTAAAATGGAGGAACTATAAACTGTGTCTGTGAATAATAAGAATGTGGTAAATTGTGTCTGTATTGTGTGCACTTTATTGAAAAAAGGATTTTCAAGTAGAAATTTTGAAGAGAAAACGGACATAATTAATTCTAGTAGACTAAAGGATCCTATCAATTTAGAGACGAAAGTAGAAAAGTCAGCAAAGAAATTTACCAGGCATTTTTACGTAGGGTTCTATAAAAAGTATGAATGGTTAATCGGCTGCAAAACTTTGAAGAAATTGATTGGCTGGCCTTGCCTACTTTTTAATACAGCCGAAAAAACACATTGGGATTCAGTCGGTATTACAGACTTGAATAATTTTCACATAAATGTAAAACGACATGTAAATAGCAAATCTCATATAAGTGCTACACGGAAAAAAAATTGTAGAACAAATTTCTACAATTATTGATTTTTTCTCTACAATAAATAGTACATATAGGGACAGGGACAATTTGTAGTAAAAATTTCCAAATATTTGTGGAGAATGTATTGTAGAGTTATTATCTACAATATTTAGTAAAGATATCCAAATGCATCATAAATATTGTTCTACAAATTGTTATAATTTTTGCTATTCATTGTATGAATTTATATTAAAAATGTATTGCGTTTTATGAAAATAAATACGAAAATTTTACACAATAAATAGTAAAAATTCATACAAATTGTAGTAATTTTTAATAAAACTTGTAGTAGTATTCCATAATTATTATAATTATAACCTAGAAAAAAATGTTCCTTAATAAAATATTCAACTTATTGTTTTAATATAACAGATACAAAGTCTTAATTACATTATGTAATAAATAACAGTAATAATAGCACCCTCAGTCTCAGTTGGCTTTTCTGCACCTGAAAAATATGAAATAAAAATTAATAACAATTGAACTGTTCATACCATTAAAACGGGGATATTTATCACCTTTACACTGATTTGGATATTAAATGACTCAGATAATCAGATAACTAACAAAAATGAGAAAGTAGGTATGTCACAATTGAGACAAAAAAACATCATTGAATTTGGCACAAAAAAAATCGTTCGTTGGCCACAACTATTTTTTTTTAAAATAATCTACTAAGGTTATTTAAATTAGTTATCTAAAGGTAAATTATTCAGAAACAATAATAAATGTACTTACCACCAATAGAATTTATTATTAAAATTTTCTCAAACGCATCGGTGCTTATAATATAATAATGTGTTATAGGTACGCGTATATGTACCATGCTTTGTTATGTGAACATGGCGAACGGCTACTGCTGTCTGGCCATTTATGATCGATGTCAGAAAACGTTGGCCAATAGCAGAATCCTGTTTTGTTCACATGACTTAGAATTTCTACAATATTATAGAATATTTTTGAACAAAATTGAATATTTTTTATAAGAAGGGATGTAAATTATTACTATTTTTTGTAGAGATAATTATTAATATTTGTACAAATTTTTTCAGAAGTTAGTAGTAGTAATTACGATAATTGTAATAAATTTCTACTTCTACAAACAATAGTAAAATATACTAAACATTGTGGAATTCTTTCCTATTGTTGTAGCATTTTATTCGACAATTCAATTGCTACAATAATGAATAGTTTTTAACTATAAATTGTAGTAAAATTTTCTACAAATTGTTAAGTATTTTTCAACAGGTCTACTACTACAACATTGTAGTAAAATTTTCTAGTCACATTTTTTTCCGTGTACAATTAAAGAAAAAACATTCGGGACCTATCGCATTGAACATAAGCAACAAAATTCACAATAAAAGGGTAAAAAAAATAGGGACGTCTTACAACGATTAATAGATGTAACTTGTTTCCTGGGAGAGCATAAACTAAGTTTTAGGGGTCACAATGAAGC